ACACTAGGAGCTAAATTGTGCATAACCATGTTGTTTAGAAGTATTAAAACATATTCTACTTTTCATTCATCACAAAAATTATTAATCATAATATGGTGTGTCACTACATTAGGTTGCATTTTCTTATCTATCATCTGATTGTACAATACTCAAGTTTTATCAAACAAATCAATCTTGGCAAACCCGTGAATCAACGTGTTGCAAGTATACGTATCCGGCTCACAACTAGTTTTAAGCATTCTCAAGTAAACTCGCATTGTCATTTCTATCTTCTTATTGTTGCAGCATCTATCAATTAAAGAAGTGTACGTCAACTTATCTACAAAGAAACTCTGATACTTCATTTCTCTAAACAAAGTCTCTGCCTCAATAATCCACCCTCTTTTACAAAGAACATAAAACAAAAACGTATACATATGCAGCGTTGGTGAAGTTTGTTCACGTATTATATCAAATAATTACATCGCCTCATATATGTATCATTTATAACATAAACCATCAAACAACGAATAATAACTCCAAACACCTAAACTAACACCAGCCTCACTGAGTCTAATAAAACACTTAAATGCCTCCAAAAACTTTTCCTATGCATAAAGCCCACTGATAACAAAATTACAAGCAATTTTACTAGGAATAGAACTCATCATAACAAGTCTATCAAAATGGGTTCTAACCTCCTCGAACTTTCCTAATTTACATAAACAAATAATCATATAATTCAAAATTGATAGGTCAGGACTAATACCTCCACTACCAATACCACTACTGTAAAGCAATTCAGTTTATTGGGGCTGTCATGTCTCCACCAATTTCTTTACGATTGTGCCATAACAACTCAAAAATCAAACTCTACACCACAATGAGTAGCAAGATCAACAGTTGATATTACATCGGAACTGGAAGAATATAAAATAATTTGCCAAATTACTTGTCTAACAAAAGATATCAAATCATGTTGCATGAACTAGTCTATCAGAAATATGCAAAAAGATTTATGGGCATTGGTAATATATGATCTAATGACATTTGGTAGTTGATCAAGTGACAGATTACAGGATATCATTGTTCATCTGCTCTTCAAAAAGTGGTAACATGAAGTAGGCTTCTTCTTCATCATGGTTTAAATCCCATACTGCAATTAAAGATGGCAAATTAGTGCTACAGAGTTTAAAACAATATTTAAAAAGCTAGAAGACATGAATCCATGAATATAAATGGAAATCAGTTCGAAATAGAAATGAAGAATTATTATAGATCCAAAAAGCTAGAAGATATGAATCCATAAAATTAGTTACATAATGGAATTCAGAGAAACCACCATGATGTTCCTTTAGGGAGAAAAAGCATCCACCACTTACCCAAATAAAATATGAGGTAAATAACACGAAATTTGAAAAAATTCCGACTCATGCCACAATATATTGAAAAAATTCCCTAATATGTTAGAACGCAGATGAAGTCGCATGAAAACAAGTCTTTTAGTTTATCACACAAAAATAGGCATAATATTTTCAAGTTTGTATCAATTAAATAGAACAATATTATAAATTTTATCATCAACAATCACCTCTAAGGATGTTGATCAGATTTAAAACCCCAATAAAATCATTAAAGAAAAAGAAGAAACCAAAATGGCCCTGAAAGTTTTAACCAAAACATCAATACATCTCTTAAGGGCATATATTGGAGTCGAAGGGGCAAGAAGAGAACACACAGAGTAGGGGAGGGAAGATCATTTTAGAGAAGAAAATAAAAATCATTTAATCCTCTATTTTTATTTGGGGTTTTCTTTCTACCTTAAGTCCGATAGAGACTCAGACTCTCACTATAGCTCTCTGTTCACCACCTCCTCTATTTCTCAGCTTTACAGAAATATCCACCACTAGCTTAACTCAAGTTACCTTCCACTTCTATAGCTATTCACCATAGCAAAACCCATGGTTTCTTGTCAATGCCAAGCTCACCAATCACCACAGTTCCCTTTAATGGAAACATAGAACAGTATTCTTCGCACAATTGATAAATCCAGCCAATATTGAATCATAAGCCATGCAAGCAACAAATTTCCAACAAGCATTCTCATGGGCTTTTTATCAAACACCTAAAAATCAAACTTCAATTTTCTCATTCATAAACTTGTCAAAATCACGAAACATAACGAACAAACAATGTCAATTCTTCGTACCAGAGAGAGATTTTAAAAACAAAAGATTATTGTTCTTTATCAAGAAGAACCATCAGCTTATATGGTGCAATGAAGGAACTCCAACCGGCAAGGAAAGCTACAATTGAATTATTCAAAGCTAAGTGATTAGGCTAACTGGCGGCAAGAATTTGGCAAGGAAAGGAAGGGCTTTATGAATTTAGCTTCGAGGAATAATCAAAAAAATGAACTTCAAAAACTTGCTACTCCAGCACAAATGAAGAGATAAAAAGAAGAAGAGCTAGAACAGATGAGAGACTAAACTTAACTTAGATGTTGAAATTATGGCAGGGCTATAAATCCATTGAAGCGGGCGTCTTTTTTAAGGTTTAAGGTGGAGTATGGCTTTAGGCAAGGAGCACAGTTAGAAAATCAACACTTTTGCGCTTATCAAGTTGAAAGGTTAAATTTTTAGGCGTCCAACCACCAGATGGCAACCCAGTGATTAGAATGGCTTGTGGCAGCGACATTTTCTTTGCAATATGAAAAAGAAAATGTTTAATTTTATTTATAGATTATGTTTTCTTGAATTCATTTGAAAATTTAGTCAAATTCATCAATTTTTTTTATTCATCTACTTAAAATAACATCATCTCCTTCGTGTCAACGTCAACGTCAAGCTCAATAGTGACCACAGTTCCCTCTAATGGAAACATAGAACATAGAACAATACACTCTACATGTAACAACCCAAGATTTTAACAACTCTACGAGTTGTATTTACCTCTAAATTTTCATACAATTTTACGGATAACTAGCATTTGTCTTAGCAGTGTTTACTTCTTGCAAGTCATACTTTCTCATGGAAATAACAACTAATAGTGTACAAAGGAAAAAGAATAGCATCCATTTAGTACACCAAGTAACTACATAATGTACGAAATACTAAATCTATAAAAATTGACAACAACGCCTGTCCGTAGCTTTTTTTACACTTAATTATTGTTCCTGTTGGTCTTAGATCAGTCCTTGATCCTTCTGTTCTGAAATTGATATAATGTTATGAGCTATACGATGCTCAGTAAGAAAACTCATGAGTTCCAACATACTGAACTGAATGAAAAATACATATAACTTTCCTTATACTGTATAGGTACTATCGTTATGTCGTAACTACCACATATGTACATAGTTATAGGCATCTAGATGCAGACATATTCCACAAATTTACTCACGCGTTCTAGTTCAACAATTACAGTTCTTACTCACCAATGAATTTTCTAACTGCTAATGATTACACTTTCACTTTTCGAAACTTACAATAGCCACATACAAAATCATCCAACAAGGGATGCCATATATATATCGAAATTCATAAAGATATTCAAAACGAAATGCAACACGAAATACAAAACAAAATACGAAACGAAAGCCAAAACGGAAATCCAGAATGAAATCCATAACGAAACTAAACCCACGAGATAGGGTCCATAGCTATATCAACAGAGTACTCAGTCATCCACATTCATTTTCCACAGTTATGCCTTCATTTCTTTTAGTTATATTATAAATTAACTCTTAATTCTGCACCTCTTATTATCTCTTTTTATTCCCCTTTCTGTCGATTTCTACCAGTTAAGCTCAAAATCCTAATTTACTCCCTATGTATCTGATCACGCTCCCCCAAATTAAACCCATTATCCGAACCCATCCAATTTCCTCCAGAACTTGGCCTACCCAAACGCCAACCAAAACAAAACCGTCTCCAGATCCGGCGTATTACTGCCAGAATTCCTAGATCGGCCTCACGCCCAACTTCTTTCCTATTTAAGTATCGGTTATTTCTATTATTTTTCTCATTTCTTCTTTTCTTCTGCCTTCCCTACACTGATTTACCTACTTATCATTCCACATCTACAACTGATCACACCAATAACAACATACCACTACCAAATCATATTCGAAAGTAACATATCCACAGATCTGAAGGTTAGGTTTCAGAGATTTCTTACCCTTCCCTGGATCGCAGATGAGATAATTGGCTGGTTCTCCTCTTCTTCACCAATACTCCATTTTCGAATCAGGGTTTTCTTTTCTTCTGCCCTCCCCTCCTCCATTTTCGAAACCCGTCCCACGTATCTACGGTGAGACTGTAGCCATGGATTTGAGGAATCAGGCCTTGCCGTCGATCCTCGTTTCTATCTTCCTACACGTCCGATCTGCCACATCATGTCTACGTGGCACAATCTGGTTCGTCCGTCTGACGTCGTTCCAATTGTGTGTCCCTTCCTGATTGGTCCTCCCAGGACACCTCAGCTGCTGAGGTGGTAGGGACTTTTCCCATATAAAATTTTACCCCTTGCCTGCATTCATTTTATTTTTAATTACATATTTATTTCCATATTTATTTTAAGCTTATATTTTATTTTTATTTTTATTTTTATATATTTTTTAATATACATACAATATTTAATGCACTTTTATGACCCTTATATTTTCTGGCTATTACATTTATTAATTACTATAATAAATTTTAGAATTAAGTATTTCTTATTTTATATAATAATAATAATGTGTTATACTACAATTATACTAATTAAATATATTAAATAAGCAATAAACTATATGAATATATTTTTATATATTTTTTAAATAAGTTGATATATAATATATAGTTATTTTTTTATATCACTATTATTATTATTATGTATATATCACACGTTAATTTTATTTTTTAAAATAATATTTTTTATTATAATTTTTATATTTAATAATGTGTTATACTACAATTATATTAATTAAATGTATTAAATAAGCAGTAATATGAATACATTTTTGTATGTTTTTTAAATAAGTTGATATATAATATATGGTTGTTTTTATTATATCACTATTATTATTATTATGCGTATCCCATGCGTTAATTTTATTTTTTAATATAATATATTTTATAAATTTATTTTTTATTTAATTTATTATGATAATAATTCAATGAAAAAATTTTACTATTTTCTATAATTACAAGTAAAATTAACGAGAAATATAAATTATAACTAAAAGTAAAATTATTTAACCACAGGTAATATTTTAATAATATAATATTTTAAATATAAATATAAAAT